TTTAGTTAATTTTTAAAGTAACCGACACATTTAGTTACTTTTTAAAGTAACCGACACATTTAGTTACTTTTTAAAGTAACCAACACAATTAGTTACTTTTTAAAGTAACCAACACATTTAGTTACTTTTTAAAGTAACCAACACAATTAGTTACTTTTTAATGTAACCAACACAATTAGTTACTTTTTAAAATAACCAACACATTTAGTTACTTTTTAAAGTAACCAACACAATTAGTTACTTTTTAATGTAACCAACACTTTTAGTTACTTTTTAAAGTAACCAACACAATTAGTTACTTTTTAAAGTAACCAACACATTTAGTCACTTTTTAAAGTAACCGACACAATTAGTTACTTTTTAAAATAACCGACACATTTAGTTACTTTTCAAAGTAACCGACACATTTAGTCACTTTTTAAAGTAACCGACACAATTAGTTACTTTTTAAAGTAACCAACACAATTAGTCACTTTTTAAAGTAACCGACACAATTAGTTACTTTTTAAAGTAACCAACACATTTAGTCACTTTTTAAAGTAACCGACACATTTAGTCACTTTTTAAAGTAACCGACACAATTAGTTACTTTTTAAAGTAACCAACACATTTAGTTACTTTTTAAAGTAACCAACACTTTTAGTTACTTTTTAAAATAACCAACACATTTAGTTACTTTTTAAAGTAACCGACACATTTAGTTACTTTTTAAAGTAACCGACACATTTAGTTACTTTTTAAAGTAACCAACACAATTAGTTACTTTTTAAAGCAACCAACACATTTAGTTACTTTTTAAAGTAACCAACACAATTAGTTACTTTTTAAAGTAACCAACACAATTAGTTACTTTTTAAAGTAACCAACACATTTAGTTACTTTTTAAAGTAACCGACACATTTAGTTACTTTTTAAAGCAACCGACACATTTAGTTACTTTTTAAAGCAACCGATACATTTAGATACTTTTTGAAGCAACCGACACATTTAGTTACTTTTTAAAATAACCAACACAATTAGTTACTTTTTAAAGCAATCAACACAATTAGTTACTTATTAAAGTAACCAACACAATTAGTTACTTTTTAAAGTAACAAACACATTTAGTTACTTTTTAAATTAACCAACACAATTAGTTACTTTTTAAAGTAACAAACACATTTAGTTACTTTTTTGGGGAGTAACGCAATATTGTAATGCATTACTTTTAAAAGTAACTTCTGACACACATACAGTAAACTAACCAGACTCAATGACACCTCAGAGATGCGTAAACTCCAGCGCAGGTTTCTGGGACGGATACACACACATCACGTGTAACTCAGAGACATCTGTGTGAGGCCTGCTTTTCCACTTTAACTCGCTCATTTTTGACATTATAAACCATAAATATGATTCAAAACCATCAGATGTGAACCTGTGACACCTGAAGCCATTTATTTCATGCACAGCTTATACTGCGATATGTAATTACAATAGTCCAATTAGTTTTTAGCAAATGTTTGTTTTATCACTGATGTACATATGGATCTGAAATAACCCTGCAACGACTGCTTGTCAACGCGGTTTCTTCAAGTCAAGGTCAGTTTTGCTCGAGCGGCCATGTGTAAATCATTAAATATGAATATAAATGCCTCTGGGAATGGGAAAAGGGAAATAGGTCAAAACTGAGGAGCATTTCTGCCAGTTTCTGCTTTGTCATCCTTCCTCAGTTCGTCTATCTGGAAATTAATGTGAAATACAATTAATGTGAAAAACAATTAACACGAAATACAAGGTAATTCAGCAGATTCTGACAAAAAGTGTTTCATTGTTTAAAGAAAAAATAACAAAAACTTAAAAATCCTCATTGTTTCTGTCTTGTTTTCCAGCACAAATATCTAAACATTCTTAAATCAAGATACATTTTGATAGACAAATATTAAGTCTTGTATGCTGAAAAATGTATCAAAATTAAGTGAGTTTGTGCTTAAAACAAGATCAAACATGCAAATGGAATCAAAAAAATATCATCTTAATTCATATCCGTTTCTTCTTTTATAAGCTTAAACTCACTTAATTAAAATACATGTATCATTAAATAAGATATACATCATTATATACAAAATACATCATTAAATAAGAGTATATCACAGTATATCAGACTGAATTTGCCCCATTTCAGACCAAATCAACAACAATGATATAAGTTTACTTCTTTAACTCATAACATGCTAAGATTAGCTATACTAAGTAATTTGAGAAAATATTTTTTTTGCACAAACCAAGTTATACTATTATACTAGTTATCAAAGAAGTATGAAAATAAGGCCAATCAATTACCAATACTGGGTGTTTATAAATAATAAAATGTTCATTCAGTTATAATGGACAAATAATTTATTAAAATAAAAGAGAGATGATACACAAAGGCGGAATAAACATATCTAAATAAAGACTTTTAACATATTAGCTTTATATCACCACAGTTTCTACTAAAGACAAGCTGTAAATGGACATTATCTCATAACGTAAAAAATGATTTTTAAATAAACCAGTTTTATTGGAGTACGTTTTTCTACTGCAAATTTTCTCATTTAATTCCCTTGCCTTTCCTTTAATAATTGTTTGTGTCATTTACTGTGAGTAAAAATCGTTTCTACACCAATTTAATTTTTCAGTGCAGAAGTCGAACAACACAATGGCTTCTCAATAATATGCACTGTAAGAAATACCTGATTAAATTTGTTAAGCATTATCATTATATTTTGTTGTTAGTCGAGCACCTCAACGAGCGGCGTCTCGAATCCTGATGAAAAGATAACATATCGCATAAAGTCCAGAATGCACTGTGCCAACCCTAGAAGAACATTTCCAAGATGACACAAAATGATAAGAAAATATTTACAATACTGAAAAGCACCATTACATTTCATAAAAATAATAATAAGTAATTGCACTTAATATTAGCAATTGATGTCACTCATGCTAGAGAAGCTGAGGAACACAGCGTCTGCATTTCACACTCTCGTTCATTAAGCAAATCCACTGATGATGCTCTTCCTCAGTGTTTCTGTCTCGCTTCCACTTACAAATATATAAACTTTATAAAATCAAGATACGTTATACAATGTATGAGTTTATAAGATTGAGAACAAACTTTAATGTTAGCTTGAGAAAGCCTGAAAGATTTTAAAAGCTTGATGTGTGAAATAGCCTAGAGCGAGAGAGATAGAGAGAGAGAGAGATAGAGAGAGAGAGAGAGAGAGAGAGAGAGATGGAGCGAGTTTGAATCAATTTTAAATACTACAGTAAAGTATTTTTGAATACTAAGGTTAAATACAGTTTTAAATACTAAGGTTTCTCAGAAAAATAGTTTGTTATGGAGTTTTTAGGGTGTTGCTAGGTTACCGTGGTGGTTGCTATGCGTTACTTGGGTGGTTGTGCCAGGGTGCTGAAAAAAAAATCTTGAATTAAATGAAATTTTAATTAAATTAAATTTGAATTAAATTTGAAAAACCCCTCTGGCAGAAAACTTTTCTTGTTTTAAGCATAGCTCGCTTAATTTGGGTGATTTTTTACTTAATATCTTCAATCATTTTGCTTCTCCAGTAAATCTATCTTTATTTAAGAATGTTTTGTAATTTGTACTGGAAAAAAAAAAAGACAACGATACTGAGAAAGACTTTTTTTTTCTTTTGAGGAGTTCACTGCTATTAATTAACATCAACTAATAATCTGTAATATACTCTTTACAGTATTTATTCATCTTTGTTAGCATTAGTTAATAAAAACAACTGTTCATTGTTAGTTCATGTTATCTGATATTCATTAAATAATATTAACAAATGCAACTTTTGATTCGAATAATGTACTGGTAAATGTTAGACAAACTTATGCATTAATCTTAGTTAATGTTAATTCAACATTTACTAATATATTAATTAAATAGATATTATTTAATAGAGATAAGCTGACATCAATAACCAGTTGTATTTTAATTTACAAAAAATGATAAAAAAACACATGTATTTCACCAATGTTAGTTAATGCATTAATTAGGACCTTATTGTTAAGTTATATCAATTAATTGAATCAGTCTTAAATGTCTCTTAATGATGAAAAAAAGCACAAACAAAAGAGCCAAAACATTAAATTGACAAACAAGCATGACTAACTTATGCATTAATCTTAGTTAATGTTAATTCAACATTTACTAATACATTATTAAATAGATAAGCTAACATCAATAACCAGTTTAATTTAAGTTTAAAGTTAAAGTTTAATTTACTACCGTTAACAAAGACTGATAAAAAAACACATGTATTTCACCAATGTTAGTTAATGCATTAATTGGGACCTTAAGTTACATTAATTAATTGAATCAGCCTCTTAATGATGAAAAAAAGCACAAACAAAAGAGCCAAAACATTAAATTGACAAACAAGCTTGTGTAGAAATTAGTGAAGTTTGCAGAGAACTCAATTTCCGATTGACTTTCAGATCAATTCCCAAGAATACATCCATTAATGTAACCAACTTTCCTGCTTCATGGATTAATACATCACGTTTTCATATTTACAAGACGGTCCATTGAAAGTGTCCAAAAACACATTGTGCTTCCAAAAGATATATATTTTTTGTATAAACAGCACATACACTCTTTAAGGCAGTTCTTCGGGCATGTCTGTAAAGTTAGTTTGTCCCAAAACCACAGGCCGTAAAAAAATATGGACATACTGTTGGTGAAGTCACCCGTGGGTTGCTGAAGAGCATTTTTTGAAGCCCAAAATGGGCGGAGCCGGCCGTCGCCATCTTGGAGGCATCACTCCCCGATAAACGCAAATGTGCAGCGAGGCAGATTAGCTGAGGGGACGTGATGCTAAACGGCTAGTAGTGACATCCTGTCACTCAAGTGGCCACGCCCACGCCCTTAATTATGCAGAACTTTAAGGCTTAATATAATTTAAACGGATGAGTTATAAAAATATTCACCCCCCTCACAGTCGTCATGAAGGGCAACATTAGCGATATAGACCAAAACCAGTTTTTGCACCAGACTTTAAACATGTTTATTTCTGCTGTAAAGTTGGGCGTTTTAACATGCGGGTCTATGGGAGTGACTTTCTTTTGCAGCCAGCCCCTAGTGGCCAGTGGAGGAACTGCAGTTTAAATCACTTGTTAGATTCAAGAGAGAGACAATCGCTTGATCAAAACACGTAGACGTACGTTGACCGGCTGTCGCTTCCCACAACGTTCTTGGCGGTGCACTTATAGACGCCGTTGTCTTTAGCGGAAGGGTTTTGTATGACCAGTGAACCCTGTGGATGGAGATACTTGTTTCCGTAAAGACGCGGCTGGACGCCGACCTTCAGTTGAAGACCGTCAGGCATTTCCCAAACCACCTCGGCTTTCGGTGTGGCGAGAGGCATGCAGTTTAGCTGAACCGCTACACCGGGACGGGCGTAGGTTACCGGCGCGGGTCCTCTGGTTATTCGCGGAGGATACGCGATTACGATCACCGAAACCGACAGACTGGAAGATCCAAATTCATTGATTGTCTGGCAGACGTACATTCCCCTGTCATACACAGACGTCCGTTCTACGGATAAAGTCCCGTTGTTCAAAACAGCGTAACGACCCGTCGCCTGCGACCTTGTTAGAACGACTCCGTTCGGTAAAGTCCATGTGAGTTTAGGCAACGGATAACCGGCGGACATACAGTTAAGCTGCAGATTCTCACCGTTTATGATGCTAACGAGTGAGCTGTATTGGTTTATGATGTCTGGTTTTCTGTCGGACTGTAACGTCACAGTCCGCTCGACGTATCCAGCGCTGTTTCGCCCAACGCACCGATAACGGCCAACCTCAGAAACCGTCGGCTCTCGAATGACCAGCGTTCCGTCAAACCGGTGATTGAACCGGAAAATGCTGGTTCCCTTTAGAAGAGAAGTCCCGTTCGGGAGGATCCATGTGATCTCCGGAGTCGGTTTTCCTTCTATTGAACAGTTTAGACTCAATAGTTTCCCGTCGGTAAGCGACACGGACTCTGTGGGAAGACTTCTCAACCGTGGCTTTTCAACTTCCTCGGTCACCTCAAGGTGAACCTGGAGTTTGGTTTCTCCGGCTTCATTGCGTGCGATGCAAAGCAACGTAGCAGAATCGCTAATCCGCGCCGCATGGATGTCCAGGGATCCGTTGAGGTGGACCGTGACCCGTGAGCCGTAGTACGGCGCGGGAAGCACGACGTTGTTGGGAAACACCCACATGATCTTTGGAACTGGGTTCCCGTTTGCTTTGCAGTCTAAAAGCACATGCTGATCCTTCACGACAGTTTTACGGATGATCCCGGGACTCTCGGATCCGTTGATGACCGGCGGCGACACGAGGACTTCAACATAAACGACTTTCTTGTCCATTCCCACAACATTCCTGGCTAAGCAAGTATAATTTCCGGAGTGAAACCTTTGGATTTTCTGAATGTGTAAAGTGCCATCGTTGGAGACCTGGTAGTTTTCGGATACTGGCGCTATGACGCGTTGATCCGGAGACGTCCATGTGATTCTGGGAATCGGTTCTCCTTTGGCGCTACAGTTCAGGACGGCTGTTTCCCCGTAAGGAATTTTGATTACGCTGTAAGCGTTGTTTCGAATGATCGGAGAATCCGCTAGTACCTTGATGTGAACCTTCATTTCGTCTTTCCCAATCCGATTCTCGGCATAGCACGTGTAGTCGCCTTCCTCTTTCATTCCCACTTCGTTTAAATATAACGTGCCGTTGTCGAACATCACGTATCTCTTGGTGCGGATCGAGTTATCGTGGGACTGTGCAATGCTGTTGACCATGGTACCGTCGGGGAGACTCCACGTGATTTCTGGATTGGGAAAACCTGAAGCGACGCAGTCCACTTTGAGCTCTCCTCCGTACGACACCTTGTGGTCGCTCAGGGACTTGCGGTCGATTTTAGCGGCTTTCATCATCACGTTGACTTTAAGGAGGACGTAGTCGTCACCCATCTTGTTTCTGGCCACACAGAGATAGTCGCCCTCATCGTTCTCGGTCACTGACGTGATGGTTAGGGTGCCGTTAGCGAACACTTTCATTCTGCGATCAAAGCTGAAACGAGACATAAAGAGAGAGGTCACATGCTGATGCTAGTATTACCTCTTAAGTGTCACCGGCGGGCCCAAATCTATTACATACTATGGCAACCTATATATCATTTGAAAGCTTACAATCTCTAGATTCCATATTTGCTGATTGGAGAGGAGCTGTAATTTATCAATTTGCAACATGAACATTTTTAAAGGCGTGTATAGACCAAATAGTGATGAACATGAAAAATCATGAAAGAAGGGTAGAAACCTCAGTTTGTTTGTTGAGTTCAAAAGATAGCATCCATTCAATTATTTTAGAAAAAAAAAGTCTGAATTTTTTCAAATATAAAGAAAACAATGATAGATTCACCATTTGCGATGTGGCAGAGAGCTATACTGCACATACTTGTTCTTTTTATGTGTTTCTTAGAGGTTGAATTCATTTTAAAATCAGCCAAACTTCTCATATTACTTCCGAATAGGATGTCTACTTCATAAATTGTATGAAAATTGTGGTTCATATCACTCAAAACACATATGGAAATTGATGTGCCTCATATGGGTCTGGTTGAGCCCTAGTGGAAGCGTTCGGTACTGCGCCCAAACACAATCTCACTGAAAGCTCATTTGTTTTTGAGATATCAACCTAAAATTTGAAACACAACTTGTTCAGATTTTTGGCTTTGATATTTTTGCAGTTTTAGAGTCACCAAGGTTTTAAAAATATATATTTTATAAAAAATATGAATAATTAAATTTTTTACATTGTACATTTTCATAAACTCAAACTTCACTTTCTTCCTTTATTTCACTTCTACAAAAATCTGCCAAATCTCTTCTTTAAAACGAGACCAATCTTACGCCTATATTCCAAAGCTTTCTTGAATTACAACCATTTAAGTTCGAAATGTGCATTTTTATGTATATTCAAAAAAAGGGGCGTGACATTTAACAGAAAGTGCTCATATAATAGGAGGAATCACATTTTCATTGACGATCTTTAGAGATTAAAGAGCTCTAAAGATATACAAGATATATTTTTCCAAAAAATTATATTATAAAATACATTTGGATTAAAAATCATTTCAAGGGTAACAGAGTATCACGACCAATCAAATCTACCATGTGTTTTTGAGATATAAGAACTCTAAACTTCATTCCAGTGAAATATAACATTTACATTGTTTTTTTATCCAAGATTTATAAAAAAAAAGAGCATATTTACTCTTTTTGAAATTCTTGATTTCTAGTGCCAGAAGCCAAATTGTCAGCAAACCACTCACATATACACATAAACAAGGCCTATTTCCATCTCTACAGTGGCACATATGCAAAACGGTCTATTTTAGTAGTGGTCTTTTACGTTTTATCCAAACGTAATAAAAATGTGTGGTAGAACCAAAAATTTTCACAAGAATCCTAATGATATCAAGGCTGCATGGTCTCTATATAAGCCCGAGAAGATCACAGAGACCACTGGTGCCAATGTTTTCAATCATCGACTGTCAAACAAATGTTGTTACTTCAGATCTAATGTCTCATTTTTGCCACACTGCAGAGTTGTTTTTGATTTCCTTCTGTATCCATTTATATTCTTCTCATTTGCCTGTCATCTGTAATTAATTACGCTTCATGCTGTTTTGCTATTTTGTTAATCATGCTCTATATCCAACAGCGTATATGGAGATAATTAAAGCACTGATCCATGATCATTTCAAAGACATATAAATGGCCTCTTTACAAGTGAAATGAGTCACAACATGCTGTTGTGCTCAAACTGAGGGCGTTATTATATATTTAACTTCACTATCATTTAATTCTCATCATTCAGCCTCTTTGCATTAGATTGTCAGACTGAATTGTGCCACTCATACGCTTCAGATTAGGCCAAACTGATCATGGATCTTGAAATGCAAGTATCCTAAACAGTAGAGCCAGACCGATATATCGGCCGGCCGATATTAGGCATTTTCCAAAATATCGGTATCGGCAGTTATAATGGCCGATAAATAATTATTTTAACAAATAAAATAAAAATGGACGAAACACGCTTCAATCATCTCTCCTTGGCCTGTTATATTGAAAATGTATGTTTTACAATTTGCATTATGATGTTATCCATTGCTAACTTATGGCTCATCATAGACTAGCTAACCACAAAGCTAGCTAACGCCACTATCATCAGTGGAAGACCGCTAACGTTAACATTAACAATGAACTTTTTCTGGCTAAATAAAGTAATGATTACTGTATTTATAACTAGCATATCTCTAGTTACAGTCCCTGCATTGTAAAATGTAAGTTAGACTTGAGAGGAGTGAACATTTAGACATAGAGAAAAAGTATCAAACGTATCTTGAATGTTTTACACGTGTGTGAAATCCAACAATATTTAATAAAAAAAAAATATCGGCCGATATATCGGAATATCGGATTTTAAAACCCAAAAATATTTGTATCGGTATCGGCCTTCGAAATCCTTTATCGGTCGGGCTCTACTAAACAGTCTAAAAACACTCAATAGGCATTGCTGACCCCTGCAAAATTGACCCCTGTAAGCACATATCCCAAACATAAACATGGTACTACGCTAATTCCTGTACCTGTAATATGCATCAACCAGTTTTTTCGAAGGTGTCCTCCAGATGATCCTAGGATTGGGGCTTCCAGTGGCCGAACAGTCGAGACTCAGTCGAGATCCGTATCGGACATCAGTGTTGTTTGCGGAAGCGGACGTGATCCTGGCGGAAGTCGAGCTCCTCTTCACCTGCAGATTTACAATCCTTTTAACCACGCCCACAGAATTCACAGCAACACATTCGTAATTCCCAGAATCCTTCTCCGTAGGATTGCGAATAAACAGCGTCCCGTTGGGGAAAACAAACAAGTTGCTGTTGATGAACTGCGAGGGGCGAAGCTGCGTGCCGGTTACCGTGACCCATCGGATTGCGGGACTTGGCGAGCCTTTAGCGGTGCAGTGAACGAACGCCGACTGGCCGTCAGAAACGGTGTGGTTTTCCCAACGCTGCTCTTGGATCTTGGGAGGCAACGCTGCAATTTGGAGCCTCACGGAAAGCATGTCGGCTCCGGCAGCGTTGCTCGCTATGCATTTGTAGACGCCCCTGTCCAGGTAATTGGTGTCTTTGACTTGAAGCGTTCCATTGGCGAAGAGCGTGATCTTCTGTTCGCTGGTACTAGCGGCGCGCACCACCGAACGGTTTGGAAGCACCCAGCTGATGTTTGGGATTGGGAGACCTTGTGCTTGGCATTCCAAGAGTGCACTGTTTCCCAGGAACACCGTCACATCTTGATGACGTGGAAGGGTCACCTTGGGCCCGTGGGCCGACACCACCAGGGTCACCATCATCTTATCAATGCCGTGTAGATTGCGAGCGCTGCACAGGTACTGCCCGCGGTCCTGAAGCTGAACGTTACGGATGACAAATGTGCCGTTGGACTGGACTTCAAACCGCTGGATTCTGGTGTTGGTTGACATGATAGCTCCTGTGGAAAAGAAAATGTGAGGAGTGAGTGAAGAGCTGCGACAAATATACAGAGAAAAGAGAGAGAGAGAGGGATTGAAGTGTCAAAATTTAGGAGTAGTTCACTTTTCAAAAAACTTTTGCTGATAATTTACTCGCCCCCATGTCATCCAAGATGTCCATGTCTTTCTTTCTTCAGTCGAAAAGAAATTAAGGTTTTTGATGAAAACATTCCAGGATTTTTCTCCATATAATGGACTTCAATGGGGTCCAAACGGTTCAAGGTCCAAATGAGAGTTTCAGTACAAACTGCAAACTGTTCAAAGGGCTTTAAACGATTCCAGACGATCTTATCAAGCGAAACGATCACTCATTAAAAGCAAAAACAAAAAAACAAAAAAAAACAAAACAAAGTTTAAGTTTTATATAAAAAATGAACTTTTTCCAAGTCAATTAGTTCGTTTCGTTAGTTGAATGAACAAAATGACTCGGAAAAAGATTCGTTCATTTTGATGAACGAGTTCGAACAGGAGAGTCACAAACGCGCATCACAGAACAGAGCAAGGCGAGCATTTGAGCTTATAAAACTAAAACTTTTGTATTTATTTTTTAATTGGCCGATCGTTTCGCTTGATAAGACCCTTATTCATCGTCTGGTGTCGTTTAAAGCCCTTTGAACAGTTTGCAGTTTGCACTGAAACTCTCATTTGGACCTTGAACCGTTTGCATTACATGCAGAAAAATCCTGGACTTTTTTCCCCATCAAAAACCTTAATTTCTTTTCGACTGAAGAAAGAAAGACATGGACATCTTGGATGACATGGGGGTGAGTAAATTACCAGCAAAAGTTTTTTCAAAAGTAAACTCCTCCTTTAAAGTATCAAGATAATTTTTGCTTTATGCATTAAAATTATACTGTATATTCTGCATATGTTGAAACTGTAAGTACTGGCGCGTTACCTGTGGAGACTTTAGTCCAGGTCAGGAGGGGCTTCGGCTCCCCCACAGAATCGCATGGTAACTGCACATCTGTCCCAGCATTCACAGTGACCGTGTGCAGTTTGGCGGCAGCGATTCTGGGTCTCATTTGCAGGACGGGAAGAGTTTGCGATCCTTGAGATGAAAGAACTGCACTCGACTGTCTGTTTATGGATTGGGAAATCTGAATTTGGTTGTTTGATGCAATTGTGGGACTTGGGTCGGCTGATCTAGCAGTTGCTGTCAATGTTTTAGGGGCTGTAGTTGATTTGATGTTGTTGACAGAGTTTAAATCCGTGGTCATGGGAAGGATTCTGGTCTCATATTGACAGATGGGTTTCTAATATGATAGTATGGATACCTGTGATTAGTAATGGGAATTCTTTCCCTGTGCCTGGAATCTATGTAGTTCGTTCCAGGATTTCTTGAGTAAAATGGGATTCTGTTGTCCGGTAAGAGATAACTGGGTGTTAACTTTACAACATGTGTAGTTGTAGAATATAATTTGGATGCTGTCGCCAGTGTAGTAGATGGTGGTATTGTTCTAATAAGTTGGGTTGTGATGGGAATCATGACTGTAGTTGCTGGAAACGTAATTGTGGGCAGTGAAGTTGTAGGTTCTTCATTAGAAATCAAGTTTGGTATCACATTGGTTTTACTGCGAGTAATATGGGTTGGCGTTCGTGAACTTGTAGCTAAAGACTTGATTTGTGTCCCAACAGACTCTGCTGTTGAGGATAAAGATACCGTGTCGTGAACTGATTCTTCTTCTTTAAAGTTTGGATTTGGTTGTGAAAGCGAGTAGTCTTGGGGTTGTGGCATGGAGGTGACATTAGATTCTTTTGCACTAGTTGCTTCCAATGTGTCCTCTCTTAGATCATCTCTAAAGTGTGATTCAGGTAAGTTCACGAAATCCGGCCCGTCTGCGTCCAATGTAAAGTTGGCTTTTGGTAATGCTGTTGAAACTCTTGTGAACTCCTGCCAAGCCCTTGTCATTGGGACCGTTTCAGTTTCAGTGCCATATCGAGATGTTGGAGGTACACTCATGGGAACCATGTACTCATCCATCTCCTTGGCGGATGCAACGCTTTCAACCTCTTCCTCCTCTAAAGAAGTAATGTCTTCATTTTCTGAAGCCAATGTAGAAGACCCTGTCGCCGATGCTGTTCTCATGGGGTGAGATGTAGAGCTCGTCATCTCTTGAATTTGGAGGAAATTACTTGCCTTTACTTTGTGGATGTCTAGACCAGTTTTCTCAATTGCAATCTCCTCAATGGCATTCGTTAACTCTCTCTGCACTGTAGGATGAAAGTGAGACGTAAATGGATGGACTGACGTGCCTTCAGATAGGGTTGTAGGGTATATATGGGTAGTACTCGTATATTCAGCAGTTACAAGGATAGTTGGATGGATTGATGTGTGAGCAGTCGTAGTAGCCGGATGGATCGATGTGTCCTCTGTTTTCAAAGCTACAGTTGGTCCATGAACTCCTGCAACTGTAGATGTTACCCAAGGTCTTCGTCTAGCAAGGTTTGGCATTGGCCTTCTGAGTTTTATTCGTCGTCTGCCTCCAAATCTTCGCCTGGAGCTCCAGTGATCTCTCGATTGTGTTGGGCTAATGCTGCCGGTTGATGTGGTAGGAAATAAAGTGCTTTCAAGCTGTCCAGAATCAAACCCACCAATCTGCGTCTTTCCGGAGAAATTAAGTGTCTCAGACTTCGGTTTGATGACAGACCCGGAGTTTACTTGGTCGTTCTCTGCACTTATGGTACTCACATACCCTCCTTCAGCTACATCCACCTCTGTCATAACATAATGAGGTCCAGATGTGGGATTTGAGTCTGAGCTAGTGTGTAATTCTGGAAGTGCCGTCTTGTAGATGTTATAATTTTGTGTAATTGCATGCGTGTGGTAAACATCCGTTTGGCGTGGAGTGCCAAAAGTGGTCGAGTCCTCCGGTAGACCGGAGTCGCCAGAAGAACTCTCGGTGTTGTCAATCGATCCCGGATGATCTTCATTCCCCATCTGTGGACTTTTATGGCCAATGTGATTTGATGAGTTTCTCGGAGAGGTTTTCTCTCGGATTTTGGACAAAAGCTTGGCCCACTTCAGGGGGTCTATTTTGGGCTTCCCGTTAACAGTTCTTTGATTTGTGACGGCTCCATGCACGCCCTTTCTAAAGGGTCGCCTACGGCGAAATTTGCCTTTCGGACCCCTCCTTCGATTCATAAAGCTTCTGTTAGGTTCAGAACCATCTCCAGAAGCATCTTCCACATCTTCCAAAAAGGCCTTTACCTTAGTGGACACTCCCGCAGCGGACTGAGGTCTGACGGGATACTGTCGCAGCGGCTGAATTACTCTCCGTCTCAAGACGGTTAGCTTAGTAGCCAGTACATCCACACCATGCTGGTTCATGGCGACACATTTGTAATATCCACTGTTGTTAAGCTGACTATGAGGAAGGAACAAAGTCCCATTGGAAAAGATTAAAGCCTTGGATGTATTTGCATTGGCGTTCAGTACATTGCCATCTGGAAAGATCCAATTCACCACCGCATCTGGTGTTGCCGTAGTAAGACACGGCACAGAAGCGGACTCGCCAACGAACTTACTTAAAGCATTCCCAACCTGTTGACCTGGAAGAGGGCTTGAAGAGTCCATAACTGATAAGCGGAAAGGCAGAACATCGATATCTCCTGCAATCTCGGCAATGCAGTAATATACGCCAGAGTCTCGGTGCTCGACGGATTTAACGTGAAGCTTGCCGCTTCTAGAGACGCTCACTCTGTTATCGGCCGAGCTAAACGTAGCTTTAATATTCGAGCCATCGGGCATCATCCATCGAACGGCTGCATTTCCAGAGCTTTGCACACGGCAGTCCATTTCAATCACACCACCGACTACACAACTGAAGCTCGTTTGGGTTTTATTATCGTCTTCAATCATGACCCAAGGTCTGACGAGCTCCTTGTCTGTGGTGGTGGTCAAATGAGTGTTGAGAATGAGTCTCACACTTTTGGAGGAGGAATACGGTCTGTTTAACTTGATGTTCATGAAGGACTGCATGAGCCAAGGTGGATGGGTTAAAACATTAGCTCGGACGCCGGTGTAAAAGTAGGAGTCCTTTTCGATGTCCTGTCTGTATCTGTAGCTCAGCTCCGGCTCTCTGCTCAGCATGATCTCTCGTCGCAGATGCATGGGAACTTCGCTGTAGTAAGCGAGAAGCCTCCAAAAGCTTTCATAGCTGTCTCTATCCACAGGACACTCCACGTCAAAGAATAGCGTCATGTTAGCAGCGATCTGCATTGATTTAGTGTAATTCCAGCTGATTTTAGTGGCCTCTCTTGGTTCGAGTATTTGGCAGATCAAGTCCACTTTAGTCCCATGCTCATCGGATAAACCAAAGGAGACATTTCCAAACGGTGGTTTGATCCTGTCGATGGGCAGAAGTTCACTGATGCTGTCCTCATGCGAGATGTTTTTTCCTGGCGAGTTGATAGCTGGTCCAGAGCAGATGAACTCTTTAAGATCCGAGATGTCGTGCCCTTTAAGGTGTTTAGGAAACGAGCAACGCGGACAGAGCTGACCGCTGACAAACGTTCTGTCCTTCTTGCATTTCATCACCCCTTGGAAAAGGAAACAGAGTTTGTACTTCACTCAGTGTACCAACAAGTCATAGACCTAAACAGCAGATACATTTTTTTATGTTTATTAAAGGAGTAGTTCATTTACTCGCCCCCATGTCATCCAAGATGTCCATGTCTTTCTTTCTTCAGTCGAAAAGAAATTAAGGATTCCAGGATTTTTCTCCATATAATGGACTTCAATGGGGTCCAAACGGTTTAAGGTCCAAATGAAAGTTTCAGTGCAAACTGTTCAAAAGGGCTTTAAACGATTCCAGGCGATGAATAAGGGTCTTATCAAGCGAAACGATCGCTCATTTAATAAATAAATAACAAAGTTTAAGTTTTATAAGCTCAAATGCTCGACTTGTTCTGTGATGCACGTTCGTGACTCTCCAGTTCGAACTCGTTCGTCATTTGGATCATTCAACAAACGAAATGAACGAATTGATTCTGAAAACGATTTGATGAATGAATTCGAACAGGAGAGGCACTGAAACTGTCTTTTGGGCCTTGAACCGTTTGGACCCCATTGAAGTCCATTATATGGAGAAAATCCTGGAATGTTTTCATCAAAAACCTTAATTTCTTTTTCGACTGAAGAAAGAAAGACACGGACATCTTGGATGACACGGGGGTGAGTAAATTATCAGCTAAATTTTTTTTTTTTTTAAAGTGAACTACTCCTTTAAGCTTATTATACTTTCTCTATTTGCTTGCGTTATTAAATTCCTGTACCTGGAAACTTCTGTCAAATCAACCTGAAAAAGCTGAAAAGCTCTTGTATCTTAGTTATATTGTATTTATTTGTTCTTTTGCTTGTTATATGATTATTTTTTCTTATTTTATTACTGACTGTTTACTTGTCTTTAAATAATGTTTTACATTTATATTAGTTAGGCTAATAGTTTTAGCTGTGTTACCAAAATTGAAATAGAGAACTGTGAAAATTCGGTCAAATCAAATTCTGTATCAAAATGTATAGGCAAGATAAGTAGTTTGTTCAGGCATGGTTTGTAGGGAATTACAAACCTGCACACATATATTAAAACGAGCATAATTATAGGATCAGTTCTTAATGCGCATGTGAACGCCATCAGCGTTTATCACAGGTTCAGTTTAAAGTCTGTTTAGAGAGAACGGTGTCGTCTTAGCAAATGATCATTTCGACGGAAGTGAATCAATCAAAACTAACTTTAGCTGGAAAATAACATTATTCAAGAACCGCTATAAAAACAAACCTATCTCTGTAAAGCTGCTTTGAGACAATTTACATTGTTAAAAGCGCTATATAAATGAGGATGACTTGACCTGAATGTTCTCTGGTATCTACAGTAACATTTTGGAGTCATTACTGCCCGTTTTTTTGTTTCATGGCTGGTAAAAAATAGACATTTTTTAGGCCCTGCTTACATTCATAGAGTGTTAAGCATTTAAAATGCAACACACAGTGATGAGGTCGTCGGATTTTTAAAAATGATCAATTCTAATCATACTGAATTTAAATTGTAAGCATTTTCATTACACATGACATGTGAAACTCGAAATATTTGAATATTGTGCAAAAGTTCATTTATTTCAGTAATTCAACTTAAAAGGTGAAACTAATATATTATATAGACTCATTACATGCAAAGTGAGATATTTCAAGCCTTTATTTGTTATAATTTTGATGAGTAGCCCTCAAACCGTATTCACTTTATAGCCCTTAATCCTGTAATTGTGGACAAATGTGGGCACAGAGGACTTTTTATTTATTATAAATGTTATATCACTATCTTCGATTAAGTTTTGTCTGTCCATTTATAGAGTTTTTTTTTTATTTTGGGGGTATTTTTGAATTTATTTACATCAAAAAGTACCATATTTTATATGTAAATTATGCTTATTTTTGTGTTTTATTATTTAAATATCATTCCAATAAGTTCTTAGAGCTAAAACCTAAAGATGAAGTGACTTTGCTGTTATTTTGGCTTATTTTAGAATGCTCTAAATTACAGTTTTTCCCATTCATTTCTATGGGTGCCCATTTTTGACCCAAATACAAGATTAAGGAGTTTTTTTCACCCACTTAACATTTGTAGAATTGAGTCAAAAAAAATTGTGTGTGTTCAGGAGGCAAACTTAGGAAAAGTAGCCAAGTCTTGTACCGCTCAGATCAAGGGAAGTATTTTTTTTTTAAATAAATCAAAACTATTTTGCCCAGAATACGGTTTTAGGGTTATGGCTTACAGTTTATGAAAATTAGTAATCCATAATCATCACAATTCTAACAAATAAAGGCTTGAAATATCTCACTTTGCATGTAACGAGTCTATATAATATATTAGTTTCACCTTTTAAGTTGAATTACTGACATAAACAAACTTTTGCACCATATTCTAATTTTTCGAGTACAACCTGAACATTATTCTTCTGCCGCTGCACAAACACTGAGATTTTCTTCAGGAAATTCAAATGCATTTGATAACAGAGTGAACATCTGAAGCCCTAACAAACAGATGATTTACCTGCATTTCTTGCGCTCCAGTCCTGTAACCAGCTCATCCGGCAGTCGCAGCTCCACGGGTTCCCGCATAAGAAGAGGTTCTCCAGCTGAGGCATGTTCTCCAGCAGGTTTGGGGGTAGCGAGCGCAGGAGGTTGTCCGAGAGATACAGATGCTTCAGGCTGGACACGGGGAAGCGCTGTAGTAGCGAGAAGGTGCTGAACGTAGCATGATGGAGCTTTTGGAGAAAGTTGGCCTCTAGGTGGAGCAAACGAAGCGACGTCATCCCACTGAACGCATCCGGGTGGATGAACTCGATGCGGTTGTGGTCCAGATGAAGCCTAATGAGGCCCGTCAAACCAGAGAAGGTGTGCCCGGTAATGACTCTCAGTTTGTTGTAACTCATTTTTAAAACCTGCAGGAAATACACATTCACTCTTTGGCAGCGAACTCGGAGTTATTATGTCCTATGAGCAACCCAAGTGCACACTTTTAATTTACTAGCCAGAACTAATTAATTACAACTAAATTGAGTGCTAGATTGCTTCTTTTACCTGCAACGAAACCAGGTCCTGAAAAGCACCATCTGATATTTTCTGCACATTGTTGCCGTGCATCATCAGTAGCTCCAGCTTCCGAAGGCCACCAAAAGAGACGTCTGTGATGTGATTTATAGCGTTGAACCTGTTAAATAGTAAAAGCATTGTTATTAATCATATTTTAAAATTAAGTTGCATTTTATCATCAGCATGGAAGCTTGTTTCTGCCACAGACTGAAAGGGAGTTGCAACTTTTCTTCTCAAATTTCTGACTTTTTTTATAACTCATTCACCACAACAGTGAGAAAAATAACCTTTTATTTTATTCTATTCTGTGGCAGAAACAAGCTTCCAAATTAGTTATTTCTTTACATTGAAGTTATATTATAACCAAAAATGCTCTATTTTTATGCACACATATATCGGGGATGACCTGGGCTAGTTTCCACATGGATAAGTTGTTTCAAGGTCTACATTTTAGTAATTCAGCAAGGTTTTGAGTCAAAAGTCACGTGATGTAAATGATTGTTGTCTCTCTAGCAATGATTTTATGTTGATTTCAAAATTTGTATTCTATCCCCAAACTTTGTAAGCTTGTTTACGCCGAGCAAAAAAAAATAAATAAATGTAATAATTGCAACTTTATCTCGCATTTCTTTTTTCAAAGTAAAAAAACTACTTTTTTCTTGCAATTGCGAGTTTATATCTCAGAATTATGACTGTTTTTCTTAGAATTGTGAGAAATAAACTTGCAATTGTGAAACACTTTATATAAACTAGAAAGAATGTATCAGGCTGACTTTATATCTCGCAATTTTGACTTTATATCTCGCAATTCCGACTTTATATCTCGCAATTCTGACTTTATATCTCGCAATTCTGACTTTATATCACACATTTCTGACTTTATATCTCGCAATTCTGACTTTATATCTCGCAATTCCGACTTTATATCTCGCAATTCTGACTTTATATCACACATTTCTGACTTTATATCTCACAATTCTGACTTTATATCTCACAATTCCGACTTTATATCTCGCAATTCCGACTTTATATCTCGCAATTCTGACTTTATATCTCGCAATTCTGACTTTATATCTCGCAATTCTGACTTTATATCTCACAATTCTGACTTTATATCTCGCAATTCTGACTTTATATCTCGCAATTCTGACTTTATATCTCGCAATTCTGACTTTATATCTCGCAATTTTGACTTTATATCTCGCAATTCTGACTTTATATCTCGCAATTCCGACTTTATATCTCGCAATTCCGACTTTATATCTCGCAATTCCGACTTTATATCTCGCAATTCCGACTGTATCTCACAATTCCGACTGTATCTCGCAATTCCGACTTTATATCTTGCAATTCCGACTTTATATCTCGCAATTCCGACTTTATATCTCGCAATTCCGACTTTATATCTCGCAATTCCGACTTTATATCTCGCAATTCCGACTTTATATCTCGCAATTCCGACTTTATATCTTGCAATTCGGACTTTATATCTCGCAATTCTGACTTTATATCTCGCAATTCTGACTTTATATCTCGCAATTCTGACTTTATATCTCGCAACTCCGACTTTATATCTCGCAACTCCGACTTTAGATCTCGCAATTCCGACTTTAGATCTCGCAATTCCGACTTTAGATCTCGCAATTCCGACTTTATATCTCGCAATTCCGACTTTATATCTCGCAATTCCGACTTTATATCTCGCAATTCCGACTTTATATCTCGCAATTCCGACTTTATATCTCGCAATTCCGACTTTATATCTTGCAATTCGGACTTTATATCTCGCAATTCTGACTTTATATCTCGCAATTCTGACTTTATATCTCGCAATTCTGACTTTATATCTCGCAACTCCGACTTTATATCTCGCAACTCCGACTTTAGATCTCGCAATTCCGACTTTATATCTCGCAATTCCGACTTTATATCGCGCAATTCTGACTTTATATCTCGCAAACAGAGATATATATTCAAAGAGAAAAAAATACTTTTCTATTGCAATTGCAAATCTTAGAATTATGACGTTTTTTCTTGGAATTGTGATATATAAACTTGCAATTGTGAAAAAATGTATATAAACTATAAAGAATATATAAGCCTCGTTCCATTTTGACAGCTTGCTCAATATGATGCATCAAAGAGTTATAATAACTGCATAATTTTTCCATAGTCAAATATATGATCGTAACATAAACCTGCCATGCATTATACTAAAGAACACGATTAGAAGTGACTTACCCGAAATTAATGCGCAGAACTTGTTTGGAGATGCCCGCGGGCACGGTGGCGAGTGCACGAAAGGTGCAGTGAACTTCAGCGGACACTGAACACGCGCACTGACGAGGGCACACACCACTGGAGCCGCGAGAACTGACCAGCAGCATCAGCATCAGCATCAGCCCGACACACACAGGAGAGCCCATGCTGAACGCCAAAATGTGTGTGCGCTTCTCAAACCTTCTCGTTCCTCTATCACTGAGACACAGAGACACATCTTACACAGCCCACAGGTGTTCACAAAAAAATCACATCTATGGGGTCAGATATGCAGAGAAATATGGGTTTCTTATTCCTGCAGGATAAACTGAATATTTCAAGCTTATTTTTTTCAATTTTGATTCGTCCATGAGATCTGGATTAGCTCCAAATTATAATCAAATTCCTTTTGCTATCCTTACTCAATTAAAATTATTTTTTTTGGAATTAAATTAAGAAAGCATGAAGACAAATTACAGCCAATGTTTAATGATAAATGCATGACGACATTTTTCAATATATCTAAATAACAATATATATATACATATAACTAATCCAAATATCGAATATCCTTGTTATATATATATATACTTTATATATATATATATATATATATAGTAATAAGTTCAGAATAAGCAAAGCAAGAGTAGCATTTTAGTTTTAAATATATATTTTCTCTATATGCAGCACAAGAACAAAACCAAAAGAATAACAAGTTTAAGATATATATATATATATATATATATATATATATAAAGTTCTGTTCAAGTTTTCAGATTCTTAAACAAAATGAAACTCACCTTAAAGTTCACTTTTCGAGCCTTCATTTCCTTAAAGTAGACCAGCTTCTCCTAAAATGCACCATTATATCACAGCATCCTTTTTTAAATGTTCACCAGGCGTTCATACTTGATAAACGCAACAGCCAATAGAATAAAAAAAGAGCCGAATATAAAAGCGGATAAATATGGGTTTCTTATTCAAAGGCTTGTGTAATAAATGACCTCCTCCATGAGGATCCAGTTGTAGGTGTTCAGCGTCTGAGAGGAACTGTGAGTAGAGCTGGAAGAGAGAGATTGTGAAACCCAAGCTTGAGTGAGGAGGGGCTAAAGGAGAAAAACCCCTCGGATTATTGGCCCTCCTTTAAAAACGGGCCGTCGCAGCTGCTCCGTCTAATCCACTGCGTCACCACAACAGAGGACTGCGTTTGCTACACTATTAATAACAATAAACCTTCTTCATTAGCATTGATTTCTCCATGAAGAACCACTAAAGCGTCTTTATAGTGGGGAAAAGATTGTTAGTGATCTTCAAACTGACGTTTTGTCCAAAATCGAATACTTTCCTACTATGTAGTAGTCCATACAAAAACAGTACGCCAACAGAGTAGTGTGCATCTGATGGACACTTGGCTATCCCATGAGGCCACAGGAGAGGATTTGTGAATGACAGTGAAGCCTGAGATCACATGACAGTGACAACATGGCTGATGTTTTATCTCACAATTGCGTGTTATAAAGTCCGAATTACAAGATATAATCTCACAAATACGAGAAATAACCTCACAACTATGACTTTATATCTCGCAATTCGGACTTTATATCTCGCAATTCGGACTTTATATCTCGCAATTCGGACTTTATATCTCGCAATTGTGACTTTATATCTCGCAATTCTGACTTTATATCTCGCAATTGTGACTTTATATCTCGCAATTCCGACTTTATATCTCGCAATTCGACTTTTATATCTCGCAATTCCGACTTTATATCTCGCAATTCGGACTTTACATCACGCAATTCTGACTTTACATCTCGCAATTCTGACTTTATATCTCGCAATTCTGACTTTACATCTCGCAATTCTGACTTTATATCTCACAATTCGGACTTTACATCTCGCAATTCAGACTTTACATCTCGCAATTCGGACTTTATATCACGTAATTCTGACTTTATATCTCGCAATTCAGACTTTACATCTCGCAATTCAGACTTTATATCTCGCAATTCGGACTTTATATCACGCAATTCTGACTTTATATCTCACAATTCCGACTTTATATCTCGCAATTCGGACTTTATATCACGTAATTCTGACTTTATATCTCGCAATTCAGACTTTACATCTCGCAATTCAGACTTTATATCTCGCAATTCAGACTTTATATCACGCAATTCGGACTTTACATCAATTCGGACTTTACATCTCGCAATTCTGACTTTACATCTCGCAATTCAGACTTTATATCACGCAATTCGGACTTTACATCAATTCGGACTTTACATCTCGCAATTCTGACTTTATATCTCGCAATTCGGACTTTACATCTCGCAATTGTGACTTTACATCTCGCAATTGTGACTTTACATCTCGCAATTGTGACTTTACATCTCGCAATTGTGACTTTACATCTCGCAATTGTGACTTTACATCTCGCAATTGTGACTTTATATCACGCAATTCGGACTTTACATCAATTCGGACTTTACATCTCGCAATTCTGACTTTATATCTCGCAATTTTGACTTAACATCTCGCAATTCTGACTTTATATCTCGCAATTCGGACTTTACATCACGCAATTCTGACTTTACATCTCGCAATTCTGACTTTATATCTCGCAATTCTGACTTTATATCTCGCAATTCTGACTTTACATCTCACAATTCGGACTTTACATCTCGCAATTCAGACTTTACATCTCGCAATTCGGACTTTATATCACGTAATTCGGACTTTACATCAATTCTGACTTTATATCTCACAATTCGGACTTTACATCTCGTAAATCGGACTTTACATCTCGCAATTCTGACTTTATATCACGCAATTCTGACTTTATATCTCACAATTCTGACTTTATATCTCGCAATTCTGACTTTATATCTCACAATTCTGACTTTATATCTCGCAATTCTGACTTTATAACAAGCAATTCTGACTTTTTAGAATTGTGTGATATAAAGTCGCAATTACCTTTTTTTTTACCTAGTTTTTATTCTGTGGCAGAAACAAGCTTCCATACATTCATGCTATATATAACAAAAATACTTTAACAGTTGTGAAGAAAGTTTCAAACTAAATGTAGTGCCTACTCAGACAGTATTTGATTTCGGACGCAGAATAAGAGAAAAATAAATATTTTATGAATTGTTTTGGATAAGGGAACCAAAGATGGCACTGCTGCAGGGAAAAAAATTTAAAATTGATTTTTTAAACAATATATATACAGATTAAATATAGATGAAATGGAAATAAATTGACGTTTTCAAACATTTAAACATCTATGCATAGACAATGACCTGATTGAGGTTAGCATGATTGTCATGGTTTTACTCTGGCCAATAAGTCCTCAGTCTATTTTAAGAGCCGTCTTCTGGCCTCCTGCAATCCGACACCATTCTTTACTATAAATAATGATGGCAAAGAATGAACTATTTGTTGCAAACACCCAAAGCATTTGCATCTTTTTAAAATACAGTGTGTAAATTAAAGTATGCACTGTCCTGACGCATGAAAAGATGCGGCGACTCCTCGTGTGTGTAATGTGAGGGCTGAGATTGTTTAGTCAGCGGTTCAGTAAACACAGCTCACAGGACACGGTTTCGGGGTGGTCCTGGTCCAGCACTCAATTCAAGGCCCGAGTCAGTTAAAAATATCTTGGACTGCTGCTTTTATTGGCTATTTTACACAAACACAACAACAGAACGGTGTGTCAATTCAAGCTCCATCGAACTAATACACAAGCCATTTGTTTGACTTTTATTTGCCTTCGTGTTCCTGGCAGTCAATGCACCATTTTATAAGGAGTTACATAAGACATTTTCTGATTTATACGCATTTTAATTAGTAATTCAGATTGAAGGAATTCACATTTTATTGCACAGAAGCATCCAGAGTTTTGTTGTAAAATGCAGATCTGTGAATGCAATGCACCAACTTAACCATTTAAAGTTATAGTAATAATAATAATAAACTGTATTACATGGTAAATTAATTGCATATCCATATTATTAATGAAAATGTGGAACACTAAGGTCCCATTAGTTAATATTAAAGCATTAACTACAGTATGCATACAATATTAATGGGCTTTGGAGGTGTTTTGACCTGCCCTGACATTAAACATTACTTACAACATTTGAATTGCTAACGTCTGATTATATTGTATCCAGAACAAACTGTGCTAAATTTAAAGTGACCCTATTGGTCTACTCTGCTCTGATTGGTCAGATGACCCAGTCTGTTATGATTGGTCTACTCTGCTCTGATTGGTCAAATGGCTCAGTCTGTTGTGATTGGTCTACTCTGCTCTGATTGGTCAGATGACCCAGTCTGTTGTGATTGGTTTATCTGCTCTGATTGGTCAGATGGCCCAATCTGTTGTGATTGGTCTACTCTGCTCTGATTGGTCAGATGACCCAGTCTGTTATGATTGGTCTACTCTGCTCTGATTGGTCAGATGGCCCAATCTGTTGTGATTGGTCTACTCTGCTCTGATTGGTCAGATGACCCAGTCTGTTATGATTGGTCTACTCTGCTCTGATTGGTCAGATGACCCAGTCTGTTGTGATTGGTCTACTCTGCTCTGATTGGTCAGATGACCCAGTCTGTTGTGATTGGTCTACTCTGCTCTGATTGGTCAGATGGCTCAGTCTGTTGTGATTGGTCTACTCTGCTCTGATTGGTCAGATGACCCAGTCTGTTGTGATTGGTCTACTCTGCTCTGATTGGTCAGATGACCCAGTCTGTTATGATTGGTCTACTCTGCTCTGATTGGTCAGATGGCTCAGTCTGTTGTGATTGGTCTACTCTGCTCTGATTGGTCAGATGACCCAGTCTGTTGTGATTGGTCTACTCTGCTCTGATTGGTCAGATGACCCAGTCTGTTGTGATTGGTCTACTCTGCTCTGATTGGTCAGATGACCCAATCTGCTGTCATTGGTCTACTCTGCTCTGATTGGTCAGATGACCCAGTCTCTTGTGATTGGTCTACTCTGCTCTGATTGGTCAGATGACCCAGTCTGTTATGATTGGTCTACTCTGCTCTGATTGGTCAGATGACCCAGTCTGTTGTGATTGGTCTACTCTGCTCTGATTGGTCAGATGACCCAGTCTGTTGTGATTGGTCTACTCTGCTCTGATTGGTCAGATGACCCAATCTGCTGTCATTGGTCTACTCTGCTCTGATTGGTCAGATGGCCCAATCTGTTGTGATTGGTCTACTCTGCTCTGATTGGTCAGATGACCCAGTCTATTGTGATTGGTCTACTCTGCTCTGATTGGTCAGATGACCCAGTCTATTGTGATTGGTCTACTCTGCTCTGATTGGTCAGATGACCCAGTCTGTTGTGATTGGTCTACTCTCCTCTGATTGGTCAGATGGCTCAGTCTGTTGTGATTGGTCTACTCTGCTCTGATTGGTCAGATGACCCAGTCTGTTGTGATTGGTCTACTCTGCTCTGATTGGTCAGATGACCCAGTCTATTGTGATTGGTCTACTCTGCTCTGATTGGTCAGATGACCCAGT